ATGACCTGTTTTCTAAATTTCATAGAATTAGTTTGATCAGTCGTTTGGTATGTCTCAAAAAACTTTTGTTCTTGATTGATTTTATTACCTTTTTCGTTAGTCAATTCAATAAGTATTTTCCAAGCCTCCGAAATCTGCTTTGATTTCAAATCCGAATATGACTTATTCAACTCTTCAAAGCTTAATGCTATTGGAAAGAACGAATTATTCAATCTAGCCTCGTTCAACTGATATACGATTTGAGCGTTGTTTTCGAATTTTTCTCTAGTCAAATTCTTCAAAAATGAGGTGGATTTATTGGTCGATAATGGCGACAATACATTATAATTACCAGGGATGGACTTATTCCATGTGACAGACTTGGTAGGTTTCAAAACCTTATGCGAAGTGGGTTTCTGAGGACCCCCGATTCCAAACGACTTTCTTAATTCATCTCGACGAACTTTCCAGTCAATAGAAACATTTTCATTAATGAACTGGTTGAAGTCTTTCGATGCCGACACTAACGATTGTTCAATAGCCGCCAAAATATTTTCGTCCTTCTTGTCGTTTAAGTAGCTATCGATATTATTATTAACTGCATTTGAAACAGTTTGTGACTCAAGCGGCTTGACTGGCACCTCGATAGAGTTCAATTCATTCTCAATCTCTTCAGCACTCACACCACTCGAAGCCAACAAATAATGTGCCTTGGTGAAGTTCTGTCCTTCATTATCCTTCTTCTTTCTAAGTTGGTTCGATTTTTTCTTCAATCCGTTCAATGTCAAATGAATTGTTCCTAGATCCGAATTATTTGGTTTAGGCAAATTGTTAGCGGACTCTAATAAATCTTTCAACAACCTCGATGAAGTATGTGCATTACCACTTCTAATTGTACCACTAACACTACTGCCGCTAGGTATATTACCGGCGTCGCTTCTGTTTCCCATTTTCAAGCTTTCACCTGCTCCTCCTGTTACTGGGTTGGATACACCTGTTCCACTCGATCCAATCGACCCACTCAATCCGTTAGATTGACCGAAAAATGACATCTATTATCCTTTTCCTATACAAATTGTGTATATTCAATCGAATAAGTCTACTCTTTGTTATTCTTTTACCTACAGCTAACTAAATCTTGATCAGAAATTACAATTACCCGGCCTTTTCTCATTTGTTACACAAAACTATTTTTTTTCAATTTTCCACTATAAAAGCAGCGGCTAGTTTAATTAGTTTAATGTATTTTCCTTTTTTCTTCATTAACTTTGTCCAAAAGTAATCCATCACATAGACAGTGCATCATTATGATTTCTGTAATTGCCAGATTCGAGCCAGTATTTGGTTTTGGATAGGGCAGACATATTACGGGAATGCAATCATAAAAAGATGCGATAGTTGATGGAGAGAAAAAATTGTGTCTTTTAAGAACCTGTCTGGATTCAAATTTGAAAGAGAGGTGTCAGTAGATCCATATATTCATTCGTAGAACGTAAAATAATTGATGAACTGCCGACGAGTGGCCGTTGAATTTGTAGGCTTTTGACCGTATCTTCAGTTATTGGTACTTTATAGACCGTAGGACAGTTCTATTAAGATCGTGAAGTATCCTAGACCAGATAACTGCGAATGTTTGAAAGAGAATAGGGCCATGAAGCCAGAAACTGCATTTCAACATGCTATTCAAAGTACGACCACTTTGATGCTTTCAGGTTAACATGGCCCAGCATGATCACTGAATAAGTTATAGCGTGTAGAGAAGGCTAATTATTACTGTTAATATGCTTAAAAGGTTCACTAAAGGACTCAATTTTTAAAATCAAGTCATATGCACTAAGTATTTCTCTAAGTATTTCTGAAACTTTCATACTTTTAATACCTTGGGTGAACATATGCCACTCTACAAACAACCAGAGGTGACATATATGTTCATATATCTCGTCTTTATCTTCATTAGTGGTAGGGTAGGCTGCAACATCGAGTCGATTTTGTGTAATTAATATTTAGTATAAGCGATTATCTCTAGTAGCTGGCATCAAAGGTAGTCATGTTTAGTACATAAAAGGCTATTATGCCCAGTTTAAAACCCCCGCCATATAAAATAGTGATACTAGGAGACTCGTCTGTCGGTAAAACATCCTTGGTTCATAGATTTACGACAAATACGTTTGACCAACATACGGCTAATACCATCGGAGCAGCATTTATTACAAAAGAACATCATTCAAATAACAACGCAGAAAAGAAAGTGAAATTTGAAATATGGGATACTGCTGGCCAAGAGAGATATAGATCTTTAACTCCCATGTACTATCGGAATGCAAAAACGGCGTTAATATGTTTTGATTTGTCTAATATGGAAGAGACATTTGATAAGGCTAAATATTGGATAGAGCAATTGCAAATCAACGTAAATGACCAGGATATTCAAATTAAACTAATAGGAAATAAGAGTGATTTAAGTGAACTGCTGGATCCATCAGAATATATTGCAAGTCTTGCGAATCCTATAAAATTTTATAAAACCAGTGCCAAAACGGGCGAAGGAATCGACAAACTATTTAATGATGTTGTTGATGATATCGACGAAAAGTTCTTTACGGAGTATTACAAAAATCAAGAGAACGAAGCAAATAATTTACAACGGTCAGGTATGATAAATGTTTTCAATTCTAGGTTTGGTGATTCTACAAATAATAATAAATGCTGTTGATGTGGGAATAATACTATATAAATACAAGATGGAAGTAAATGCAATGTAATATAATACTCATAATCCTAATCCTTTTTGTCTCCAGTAGTCTCGTTTAGTATCTTTATCTAAGTTAATCTTTTGTTTATCAGACTCTTGAGTTTCGGTATCTTCCTCTTCTTTTTCCTTGGTATCAGGTTCTTCATCGTCAGATGGCGGATTGATACTCATAAAATCGGCCACTTTCTTCTTATTTGGGTCCTCAGGTTTTGCATCTTGCGCAAATGTGGTGTCTTCTTCACTTTCGACCGTCATGTCAGAAAAATAGTATTTGTTATTACCATCTGCACCGTCACTTTCACCATCATTTTCATCCTCGTTTTCATGGTTAATCAATGCATCATTAGTAACTTTGTGTCTATCATCATTAAAATCTCTTTCTTTACCTCTATATTTAATAATATCACCTAAGATCAGTTGCCCAATTCTGGCTTTATAAGATGCACCATTTAATTCGTAACATTTATCAACCAATAATTGATACGCACCTCCAAATGCTTTCTTTAAGTCTCTTAAGTTATACGACGACCTTGTAATATTATTTGCTGGGTCAGAAGGGTCTTGTATTATTATGGAAAATGGATTTCTTGAAGTATTCAACACTGGATGCTTTCTTTTTAATAAGTATTTTGGAAGATCAGTTTCAGTATCAATTGCAATGATTAAATTGTCGTAGGAAAAATTACGGCCGTATAGTTCAAAGAATTCGATTAACAATGAACCCAAATTGTCTAACACCGCCATATTCTTAGTAGATAGTCTTGGATGAAGCTTTAAGAAGTGATAGCATAGTATGATAGTAGAATATCCACCCAATCCTCCTACATGAACGTTGTTTAACTTACGCGACCTCAAAAACTGTTTCACAATGAGGACTAGTTCTCGCAAACCCGGAGTTGTCGATAACCATCTTCTGATCTTCTTCGCAGCATCAATACCATTAGTTCTTTCAAAGGATATATCTATATGGATATTAGAAGTTGGATCCACAAATTTAATAATGGGAACCTTGGCTTTGGCTATGACCTCAATATTTTTTGCTAACTTTTTATTTCTTAAAAATGATGACAACTGGTACAATCTTGATCTATGTTCATAGTCCCCAGTCTCTGATATAACGACCATATCTATATCAGAACCGGGTAAATATAAATCGGTAGCACAAGATCCAAAAACATGAACCTCAGTACCAGGCCAAAACTTACTAATTTGTTGTTTTAACTGATTGACAACTTTATTTCTGGTCATAATTTCTGCCTCAGATGGAGATATATAATTCACAAAATCTTTGATTTCCATAGTGAACCAGTCAGCGATTTCCTTTTGTTTCGAATGGTCGTGGTCTTTAATCCACGGGTACAATGATTTGGCTGTGGTTTGCATATGAACTGTACCAGACTCATCATCACTTAGTACTCCATCATCAGAATAATCGTCATAATCATCATGTTCACGAGCTTCTTCTTCTGATGAACTGAAGCCGAATTCTATAAAATCTTGGTTTTTGGCTAATTCGTTACTCACAAACTTTTGTTTCTTTGATGGTGGCTCTTCTGGATCTTCTGATCTATCACTATCGGATTCTATCACAATATCATCTCCATCATCATCCGACTCAACAAATACCATTTCTGGTTCTCTAGAATTCGGTTTAAAGTCAAATTTCAAACTCGAGTCTGATTCATTCTCACTCGATGGTAATGCTTCATATTTATTTTCAATCGGTATTATTCCACCAGATTTGCTTATTTTTTTCCTTTGCTTCTTAGATTTAAGTTTTGCTGGAGGAGAATCTCTCTTCCTTTTGGATACCATTATTTACACGTCTCTAAAGAAACACTATTGATTACTTGGTTAGTTAAATACAAATGCTGTATATATATTTGATGGACTTTATCAAAAAATTTTCGGTCATGTGACCAAAATAAATTGCAACTAATTGACTATAGCTAAGACTAATGGTAGACTGAATGCCAACACCAAACAGGATACTCGTATAAATGTAGATTCTAATAATAGCAAGTCCATAGTAAACAAAGCCAAAATAAAAATTTTGATAGACAATTTGTAGGTATAAAAAATATTATTGTCAATAGTATCAAAGAGCAAAATGTTTAACATGTAGCCAAGGATGATGCAAACGTTGAATATTTTTGACTTAGTGGGAGGATAAGATGAAAATGTGTCTCTAGGAGATAATTTTAAAGCAGAGTCATCTTCGTATTCGGAATTGGCTATATCATGTACTTCATCGTCTTCTGAGGTAATATCATCAGACTGGTAAATGAAATCAGGATCTATGGCATCGTCTGGGTTGGATGGGAGCAGTGCTACCGGGATTAGACCATATTTATTTGTTGTTTCTTCCGAAGACTCTTGAATTATTTCATTTTCCATTATGAACCTTTTCCATTTAATAGCATCCAAGAACTTTATCACATCGTTTGACAACAATCGATTTGGCCGTGAGTTTGTCGGTTCTGAAGAATCATCACCTTTTATCATCAAGTATATAAGCTTTTCAAAATCGTTCACGCAATTGTCACGAAGTAAATTGTTTTCAGATTCTATTCTAACAGATGATACAAACCATTCGTGGAACTTGGCAGCATTTAGGTCAAAGTACCAGTCTAAAATTTTATCTCTGATAAGCTGGGGGTCTAATTCACCCTTGACCATATGCGTAAAAGGTAATTTTCCAGCACATAACCAGCACAATATCAACCCTAGAGAATATATATCACTTTCGTAAGTGAATTCGTTTATGAAATATTGTCTTTCACTACCAAGGGATGGGTCAAAATTAGAAAATATCCAAAGCTCGGGTGCTGTGAACTCAAGTGTACCCGTATTTCCACGGCGTTCGTCTTCATCTTTGCTCATATTCTTAATAGTTATATCATCTTGAGGGAGGTTATGCTTATCAATAAATTGACCTTCGCCAAAATCCGATACCAAGACTTTTGGTAGCTTTGAAATCTCCTGGTTCAACTCATTTTCGTTTTCATAAATACGATCATCAATAGCCCTATTATTGTACTTATAATCTAATAAACAATTGGAAGGTTTGAGATCACGATGAAGAATTCCGTGCAAATGCAAATAATGTACACCTTTTGCAACGTCCCTAAAAAACTTCCAAATTTCAATACTATTCAACCAAGGTTTCTTATTTTCCTTATTTTCAGGATCCATGTTTTCAAGCTTTTGATTGGAATTTTTACGGACAGATCTACGGCGTTGCCGTTCCAAATCAAGTTGCTCTTTAGCACTTAAATGCAGTTCACGTAGGAAAACTTTTTCTATTAGATCTTCTAAATGCCCACCATCACAATATTGTTGAAGGATGAAGACATATGGGATCTTATTATCAAATTCAGAATTCTTTTGTTTATCTGGCAAAAAGTATGTCTTCAGGTCTTGAATATCGCCTAACTCCAACCAAACATGATTGTACCTGATTAAGTTATTCTCATTAGCACCTTGTATAGATAGCTCGTACAAAATTAGCACTTCATTTAAAACTTGTTCTAGTAGCTCGATCTTATCTCCTATACTGATTCTTTTCACCGCATATGTTCCGAGCTTTATATCATTCAATACATGAACCACTTTGTACACTTGCGAGTGTGCACCAGACCCGAGCATGAATGGTGGCACTTTTTTAAAAAACCTTTTAAAATAGCCTTGATTGAAGATGTTTTCTGGTAAGTTCGTAGCCGGTCTTGGCCTAGGCTTCTGATTGTAAGGTAGCTTCCCTAACAACTTAAAATAGTCGTGATGCATAAAACCTTCTGGGAAATTCTTCATCATAGCCCTTGTATTATCAGGGTCCGATTTCAATGAATCCATCAATTCATTCAGTGAATCACTTGTTCTTCTTTTAGTTGTTTCAGCTATGTTGGAGTGTTCAGACCATGCAAACCCACAATTCGGACATTTGATATTGCTGTGGGGTTTGTTGTTACCATATCTTGGTCCGCTACGATCTTCATTACGAACTAGATTTATTTTATTGTTATAAGCCTCATTTGTAGTTGAGACTAATTGAAGGGTATTATCTTGGTTATCATGGAGGACTAAAATACCGTGGCTGGGATCGTGATAGACTATTTCGTTGCTTGAATTATATGGAACTATTGACATATAGGATTTTCGAAATTACAAGCACGAATTATTTGAATCAATTGCAATTAATATATCGTATATATATATATATGATCCAAACAATGTATCATTAGACTAATGTAAGTTCGTTTCTTGTATAAAGTTGATTGCAGTTATTCTTAAGTGTCATAATTTAAATTAAATTGGATCATACTGCACAAAGCTTCTACGCTTGAATTATCATAAAACTATCATAAAATACTATTATACATTAATTATGCTATTTAAGACTCTATAGAGTCAAGACTTCTCATACGTAGAATAAACGTCATCAACTTGGTTTCCAAATGATATTTTTCATCTCGAGACATACTTGAAATTTCTAAGTCAGACATATTTTCAATATAAGAAGTAAGGTCATCAGCAGCATTATTTGGCTGCAATTCAGATCTTTGCTTAGTGATAAATTCATTGCTTTGCAGTTTATTATCAGAATCGTATTTGTTCTTTGGGGTATCTGAGTCTAAAATTTCTTCGTCCTCCCCAATAGTTGAAAGGAACATATCAGTCTTTGAATTAGATTCCGAAGTAATGTCTTCAGACCCGTTTCCTACATACACGGGAGGCAGTAGTGCTAGAGAGGAATTTCTTTCCGATGAGTTTGAGGCTTCAGAATTCGCTGTGTTTGTTACTGCAGTAGAAGTAGCTCTGAAATTCTGGGTATCAAAAGTGGGTGGTGCTGATTGATCATTCATTGATGAACTCTGGATCTCGTCATTCGATTCCTTTTGGATGTCGCTGGAAGATTGCATAATATCTTTGCCTAAATTTGGGTCTCGAGCATCTTCTTTTGCCATTGAAAGATCCAATTCTGATGCTGAGGGTTCAATATCACTATTGAAATTAGAAGTAGCTTCATGCTGCTTTTGCTTTTTTTTAGTATTTTCATATTCATCATAAGATTTACGCTTGCAACTAGTCGACTCCTGGTCGTCGGTGTTCTCAATTTCTTCAGGTTGATCAGACGATTCACGACTGGAAAATCCTTTCTGAATTACTGCACTGTAGTCACAACTGCTAGGAGAAACGGATTTATTTACAGTGTCGAACGTTTCTGAAGTTGAACTAGGTTCATCTTCCACAATGTCAAATTCGTTAATTGAACTTTGAGGCATTGAATCTGCTTTAAGTGGAATATCATCATGCTCAAAGGAAGAGGGTATTTGAACTTCACTTTTGATATTACTGATTTCAATAGTATCATCATCGATACTACTTCGGGAAACTTCTGGATTAGAACTATTATCAGGGGTGCTTTTCTTCGAGTTAGGCCTAGAACTTCTTCTTGCTTTCTTAACTGGGGTTTCAGGGGAAAGCTTAGCATTTAGCATAGCTGTGAATGAATGAATATCAAAATTTGCATTCACTTCTGGAGTTGGCACATTTTCTTTTTTGACTTTAGTGTTAGATTTCTTTTTTGTCTTTGGTTTAGCTACTGCACTGTGTCTCTTTCGATTTGATTTTGATTTGAGCAGGCTTTCAATTTCAAATTGGCTTATATCAGAATCCGACGTGAAATTTCCTTTCTCATAATGATTAGAGATATTATCTTTATTTTCACGGGAAAGCAGTTTAGGAATTGAGATGTTTTCAATTGATTCAATTGTTTCCATATCATCCATTGCTAGGTCTTTAGAACACTCAGGCGTAGCAGTAATCTGCGTATCTACATCTTCGGTGTTCTCTGATTGTTTCTGGCTGACTCCCGTGGCTGGATTCAGTTGCTTCATAAGTTCAAGATCATAGTATAACTCAGAATTATCTGCAAGCCATACATTTTTCAATAAAGGTAACCTACCCCACTTATTTTGAATATGTGTTTTTACATCTAATCCTGCTTCATAAGAACAAACAAGTAAGTCGTCCAACAACTTGAAATTGCCTGATTCAAGAATATAAGAAAGATATGAATTCCAAATCAGACGAAATTCAAACTGACGAAAACCTTCCAAAACCTTGAATTTCTTCATGACATTTTTTCTTATATTGTAAAGTTCAAGATCGAACCGCTTATCAATAAGAAACCTGAGAATTTCAAAAAACTCTTCGTCATTATCAAATCTAGATATTATTAAATTTAGTGGGATTTGTTTGAGATGTGGATGTGGCGCATTATGGACTAGTTCAACAAAGTACTTGAATATAGGTAAGGTCCACATTTGAATATCCAAGATACCTGTTACACGTTCGAATTCTGTAGCACTGAGTAATACAATTGATTGAATCAATTTTTTAGCGATTACTTCATAGTCTTTGGATATTATTTGGAAAAGCTCTCCAGCCAATTCTAACTCGAGGTTCGAAGCAGCATTTATTTTTCTATTGTTTAAAGTTGAAACTATGAAATTTTTCAAGCCAGTATGTGTGTTGAATTCTTGTAGTTGAATCAATTCAAGAACGAATATTAAATTCTTCGAATCACAGATGGTCGAATAGACTGATTCTAAGAAATCGAAAGCTTGCAGCGCTTCCATATCACCCAAGCAATTTTCAATAATTAGAATATAGATATTAGTTGTATTTGATTTAGTATTTCGCCTTTCCATAAAATTGGAGGCATCAAATGTATCATTCAAATTAAATATAAGCCTTTGAATAGAAGAATGCGATAGCTTGTTATGTTTGAATAAAATATTTAACACTGTTGGAATATTATCAATTATATCCCGGGTTGCATCCGACGGTTTTATTTCTTTCTTGGTGACCAGCTTTAACGAATTTAAGAAGCTGTTGAAAAATTCCAACTTTGAATCTATAGGTAATTCTTCCAACCTAAAAATAACATTTATGTTTTGCATAATTCTATCAAATTTAGAGAATATCCATTTAGGACTAACTGGACTAATATCCGTAAGGTTTAGTGGTTCATTAGAAAGACATCGCATGTCGTTAAATGGCCTTTCATTAGCAGATAATGGCGATTTTATTAGACGTGTTAAAATCTTGAAGCCCAACTCATTCATATACGTATTAGATAAACCTTTTTTAAAATAAAAATTTATCAATACTGGTTGAATAACCTTATCCCAATATATGTGGACATATTTAGATGAAGTTAATGTCAGTGGGTTAAGCAAGGTGTATATGATAGATAAAAATAAGCTGTGTGACGAGTCAATGATTTCTTTTTGATTTTCTACAGCTGAAATATTAAGTAACGGATGAATCAACAACTTTATCTTTGACTTCAATATATTATTGATACCTTGTGGTTTTGATTTATTGCTTTTTCCACTTGGACTTGAATCGATCAAATATCGGATGCTGTCCAAATCATTGTGACATACATTGAAAATGATGGCCTTCCAACTGTTTAATGCAATTATTTTAGCTGAATTGTTATCCACATTGAAACAAGATTTGTGCACCTTTAACCAATCTGATAGAAAAGGCCAATTTTCGTACCCTGAATCACTGTTACTAGATAATAATGTCATACCCACCCATATATCCATAGCTGATTTAAACTGACCATTTTCAATTAAAGTTTCAAGGCTGGTTATTATAAAATGTATTACTAAAGTTTCACCAGAACTACTAGCAGTATTTTCAGATGAAACCGAAATAGTTGATTCTGAGGTTATCGATTTCACAGTTGAAGGTAAAGGAGAAGCTAGTAACTGTCTTACCGAAAATAAAACATTTTTATTATCCAAATAGTTTCTAGCTACCTCAAGTAATACCAGGATTCCCATACCAATAACTTTCGAATATAATGGAGACGAAAGATCGCATAAGTTCATAAGGAAAAATTCGAACCAATGCTTGAAATTGCTTGCCATCATAGCAGGAAAGTTCAGAACTAAATTTTTCAAAGTTACAAACTCTTCAACCACTAATGAAGAGCTAACGAATTTTCTCATGTTAAGCAAACTTTGTAAAATAAGTTCCAGAATATTAGTGTTTTCATTTTGATTATTAAATATTAGCTTTTTCTTTTTGTTGTTAAATTTGCAGTCCTTTAATATACTAAGATATGGTATTATTAGAGTTTTTGATATAGTTGGTTTAACAATTGTCTTGCAACAGTGTATGTAAAACCATTTTGCGTCTTCAATTGATATGAAATTATTCAATTCTTGATCCAACATTATAAAGTTGATTAACTTTAATGCTTGGCTGATAATACGAATACTAAATGGATCATTCTTGCATGGCGAATAGTTGTTTTCCTTTTCATCATTGTTGCAAAATAACTTTGATTCGATTAGCTTAACATCTCTTTGAATAAATGTTGACAAGGCATGAATATACGTGGTATCCATGAAAGGTGTAGAATTTGTTTTATTCAGATTTTTGGAGTTGACCTTTTGTGGACTGTGATTTGAATTGATTGATTTATTTGGTATCGTAAGTAATTTTAATAGGCAATCAGAAGTATTACATCTGCATATATGATTCAATGTGGCATATACTTCAAACTTTTTAGTGAAATTTTTATCTTTTAGAACATTAATGCAGCCATCGATGAGTTGTGGTAGATCAGGTGAACTTGGTGCCAATTGTATTATGGTGCCCAGAACCCAGAATTCAGGGTTACTAGGATTGTTTTTAATGTCTATGTTATTAGATGATTTGACCCATAATGATGTATCATTAGGATTACATGGGGATGAAGTTTGATTCATAGAATTAATTTTTAAGATTGACTTTTTTGGAGTTTGCTCAAGAATTGGTAGCCTCGAACTATATGGTACGGCTGCAGGGGAACTGGGTAACTCACTCACTAAGTCATCTGAAAATGCAACTGACTTCTTCTTCTTAATTGGAGAAGATGATAATTCTTCTCTATATGCCCTTACTTTTGAAGCGGGTTTTATTGGCGACGAGTTCAATTCCATTTCCATATACGCTTGTTCATGTATGAAGTCATTCTCTAGAGGAGGAATGTTGATATAGTTTTTCACTTCTCTCTTACCAATTTCTTCTTTTGGCATTTTCGCCATTTCGCTTTCACTGATATCTAAATCACCGCTTTCAAGTTTGTCTTCTGAAATATTTGTATCTATAATCGAACTGTCTGAAGTCATTTCGCTAGTAGTGTCATCATCCTTGTTATTAACCGCTAAATTTCTATTAATTCTTGAATTGGAATTCCTTGATCGTGTACGAGGTGTCAGTGAATTGTTTCTTTGGACTCCCTGTGATGTATTTATTGGATGTGTGCTTGTCTTTGCAAATGAGCCTTCCGTTGTGGAATCGATTATACCTAAGTGATTATTAGGTTGTTCCACAATTAATGGTGAGCCCAGGGACAGCAGACTATTTATATGTGAGTCGGAGTCTACCCACATTCTATTAACTTTCTATTATACAAGTTATAATTGTTGTGTAATAGTAAATATGTACAGAAAGTTTTTGATAAGCGAGTGGTTCCATACTTCACGAAAAAAATTTTGGTGAGACGCGTTCTTTAATGTGTATATATTTTAGATATTTCTACTACACTAAACTAATTCTTAGATTTTTTAGAAACAGGCTCTTCTTCCGTAGCAGCTTCATCTTCATCACGCGATCTCTTTGTACCTGAAGTTTCAGCATTGGAATCCAATTCGCTCAGATCAGGATTAGATTTAATATTATTTTGGTCTTCATGTTTGTCTTCACTATTTCCATTGACTCCATTCTGAATTTCTTCTGTGTTGTTTATAGGTTTTTCTTCTAAATCTCCCTCGATATTACCATTATTTTCCACTTTAATGTCCTCTGTGTTATCTTTGGCTTCAGGTTGTTCTATCGATTCAGTTGGTTTTTCTGGTGCTTCAGGCATGTTCAATTCGGCACTTAACATCAGCTTATTCAATAAATTACCAAATTGCAACCAGTTTGAGTTCCGTTCCTTTTTCAAGTGTTTCCATGTAAGTACGTTACGTTCGTCAATAAGTTCTTCCAATTCTTTTTTATTTGTTGCATTCGATATTTTCTCTGTAAGTAAGTCAATTTCTTCCTGGCGTCTTTTATTGTTGCTGCTTGTTTCACTGTCCTTAACTAGCTTCAGAAGCCCTCTCTCTACTTTCATCTTTCTGGACAATTGAGGGGTTGCATAGTTGTTGAAATAGCGCTTTTCTTTGAAAGGTATTATTGTTTTAGTCTTCTCTTGCACCGCTGCTAATTCGGAAGCGGTAAGCACCTTATCGACAAACAAAGATTTGCCTGTATTAGGATCCTTTCCATATATCAACCAGCCCCACCAGAATGTTTCATCAATAGCCATATGCTGTAATAAGAACGAAAATTGACTATCTATAGAACGATACCGCTTAGGTATTTCTCGCTTGATTTTGAAGAACAATGATACCAAGCTATCAGGAGGAGAATCATCAGTAAAATGTTTAATATTAGCTGGACCATTAAGTGATCTCAAAAATACCTTTTTGTTTGCTGCGTTCAATTCATAATACAAGTGACAAATGAAATAAATCTGGACCAAACATGTTTGACGTATTTTGCTGTCATCAAACTGCTTGGACATGAAACTATAATCTTGTTTCTTTAATTGATCAAAAGATTCACCTCTCTTCATTTCATCAAATTGCGCAAGTGAATAATTTTCTGGGAAGTATAATTTGTTTGCATATTTTTCTTTAAGATGCTTTTCTTCAGCTTCAGATTTTGGAGCTGGGACAGCAAATTGGTCAATTTTAGGAGCAACAGAAGACCAATTTATTTCTTCCTCCATCAAATATTCATAAACTTTCTTCAATGTATCTGATATTCTAGTAAGTTGTTTATGATTGGCAGGTTTTAAGTAGTAATAAGGGTCACGGAACAATTTATTAATCTGTATCACATCTTTAATAAAGCTGTCATCTCTGGATCTTGAGTTTGTAGAGAAATCTTTAACGATTCTATTAGAAGTGCTGAAATATTTGTTTAATCCTGTATTGTCTTCAAAGTTGAAAATGTTGGCTATGAACATTCTCACACGGTATTGAAATGTATCGTTGAACGTATCTTTCTTGCACAAATCTCTTTTACCTTGTATATTTTTTTCAAAGAATCTGTCTGTCAAGGTGTTACATATTTCCAAGAAAGAAATTCTGTCGCTAGTAACTTGCTTATCAAAAATCTTATCTTGAATTAAGCTTTTACGGGTTTCCAAATAGTACCAAAATATACTTATTGTGTGTGTAGATGCATTAAAGAGCACTTGCAGTATCTGTGATAGTAATTGGTAGAAACTTGATTTGAGTGAAGGATATGACTCGATTACTAGATGCATTTGAAAATCCACCAATATACTTAGTCTATTATAGCTTCTAAGTTCTTCACGAGAAATATTAAATGTTCCAACTTCAATTATCTTATTTGTTTCAGTTTCATTCTTATCTTTGCAATTCTTCAATTCCTCTAAGTGCTGGGCAAGAACCTCATGGCCTGCCTTTTGAAAAGCCATAGTCAATACGAAATCTCTAGTTTTTTCATCCAACCCTAAATTGAAATTTTCTATCTCTTTCTTCAAGTTATTTGTTACTTCATCATTAACATTATCATCTCGTGTCATAGGTATATCTATTTTATAGTCAAAATCATATTCTTTGATAATATCTTCAAATATTTGGTGTTTACCAATGAACTTTTCAAAACTGAAGGTTTCTAATAAATAATTCGAATCATCATCTGGAACAAGTTGATTCACCAAATCAATCAATGAATTAAAACATAATTCTATAGGTTGCGATAACCTATTACTTTCAGTAGCCATACGTTCTGTCTATATAGTTGATCGTCTATAATACTACGAAAGGAAAATTGTTCTTGATTTGAAAATATAGGATTATGCGCAGGAGCCTGAAATTTGTCCATAAACATTGGGAACGGTTAAAAGTATTATTTACAACCATATGCTAAGATATATACATATATATGGGCATTACTAAGAAGGTCACGTCATGAGTAATATGTGGCAGCTTTTTCGAATATTTTCAATCCATAAATGCACGGTCATATATCAAACTTTTTAGAACGATATTTCTTCTTATCACTTTGTCTCTTCTTATTAAAAAGACGTTTCTCTTTACGGTCGTCCTTTATTTCTTGCCATCTCTTTTTGTCCTCTTCACTTACTTCACCTGGAAAAAATGTATTATCTTTGATCTCTTGCACTAATTTACGAAAGCATTCATCCGTATTGGTATCTCTATTCCTTGTTGAATCACTTTGAATGAGTATCCCTCCACTTTTTGTTTCGTATCTGATTTTATTCTCACTGATTTGAGATATTATTGGTTTTGGAATCCAGTAGCAGAATTGGGGGTTGAGCCATTGATCTGGACCAAGTGCTATGGTAGCTTTTGAGGACGTCTTATTAACCTTTTGTCCACCAGCTCCTGATGCTCTGCTGTAAGATATTTCGAAAATGTTTTCTGGTATTTGGGTACCTGAGAAGTTTTCTATCCATTGCTTGGCTTTGCTTATTTCTTCTTCTGAAAATTTAGATTCTGGTGAAGTGGATAATGTACGTACTACACCAGGAATCCAAGGATTTACATTTCTGATACCAACATGATTTAAGGAAATCGGATAAAAGCCTGTCCTTTTTAAAGGCAACCTATATAGTCTGACGCAATGCATGCTAGTATTAGGTTTAATGGATTAAACAAGAAAAAACCGATTGATTCTAATTATGTCCCAAAAAACTCGCGATCACCTACAGCTACTCTAAATCACTTAAAAGTCTAATATAGTAATCATATTGAACAATATGGGCCAGTATTTTATAAAGTATAAACCATTTTATACACAGAATATAAAAGCATTCAAACGAATGAAAAAAACGAATTAGACACCATTTTTAGCAATGCCAACATGTTCTAAAGTTGAGATAAGACCTTTTCAGCGTCAGAAACATCAACACTGGTGTTATCTGGCTCGACAAATGACTCCGTAACCTTACCATCTTCAACTAACAAAGCATATCTCTTCGATCTTTCGTTTCCGAACACTTTGGTGGCATCAAACTTCAAGTCGAGTGCAGACACAAATTCGCCTTGAGGATCAGCTAAAAACGAAATTTGATCTCCATCGATATTTCCTAATAATTGACCACCCCATGCCTTCATGACAAATGCATCATTAACTGAAACAATAAAGAACTTGTGGTATCCTTTATCGTTGAATTCACGCAATCTGCTCAAAAATCCTGGTACATGCGATGCAGAACATGCTGGTGAAAATGCTCCTGGAACACCAATGATAACAGATTTACCGTTGCTTGTTTCCTCTGCAAGATTCACGCTATTGCCTGGCGATGATTCAAATAATGTAGTACTTGGAATCTTATCTCCGGCTGCCACAAATGAAGGCATCGAAGTTCTGAATGTACGCACAAACTGTGGTCTGGCAATGTTTCTGGTCAATTGGGGCAACATTGTATTCAATTGAAGTATCTATGTATCTAAAAGTTAGAAAATAAGGTGTTGAACAGACTTCAATCTTGTAATAGTTGCTCTGATATGGCTTTTATAAGCCGAGAGTGCGATTACCAATATGTCAGATTTATCGACCACTAAACAGTATTAGACCAAGTATTCTTCCTATATTAAACAATATACCAAAAGTAATAGAGCTAAAAGGATGTCAGGGAAGGTGACATCGCAAAGGTCTTCTCAAAGACAAACACCCGAAGTGGAACAAGAAGAATTAACAGCCCAGAAGGCTTTAGAGCTTTACAGAAATGCATTAAATTTCAATGTCATCAGTAGATATGACGAATTCATAAAACAATTGCTTTACCATACTTCACATTGTGTGATATACAAGTTCAACGACGAAACACAGGAATGGGTTAAAACCGATTACCAGGGAACTTTGGCATTATATTTACGTGATTTTAAGGTGCCACAGAACACGGGATACCCACCAACATACCAGGACTTGCAGAACCTTTTTTGCTATGGATTACTTCTATTGAACAGAAATAACCCCGAGTGCTTCTCGTTGGGCCTTTTGCCAAACAAAATCATCAAGCATTTTTTTCCCCATGGCTTGAATAATATGAACATTTTGGAAATGGACGTCGAACTTAATGACAATTTGATCATTGTCAAAGATTTGGTTGGTGATATATATGGGTTGTGGGTCTTCAATGAAGAAGACAGAATGAAGTTGTACAAATTACTAGAGTTCTGTTTGTCAAATGACTCCTCCATGCTCTAGGGTGATTTTTTGATTCTTGGAGCTTTCTAGAAAACATGCAGTGGGATATTGTATAAAATCTCGTGTCATTCTTGTCATTGAGTATCGTTATACACTTATCATACCCTTTTACATAGGCTATCATATGTGCATGGAGGTCGGTTTGGAGAATTACGGAGAGTTCCCATTTGCCGCAAGGAGATCAATTGCAGAGCATAATTATATTTCTTGGTCTTCTTGGGTACCCAGTAGCTATATCTTGACCGCCAGATGCAAATCTTTGTCTTTATAGCTGCTTGTTCTCTTATATATTGTAATATAGCTACTAATAAATTAGTATACTGAAAAATCCACTACGCACGTGATTATAGAGGATTTGAACGAAAATATCACCAAAAGTTTTGTATATGTCTAACATAGGCTTTGAATACTCCCAATATATCGAGAAAATCTATTGGTCCTCGAGTAGTGAACTAGCTTGGCGATAACAATTGTGCTAATAAGTGTGAAAATAAATTTGAAGTAGAGCTAACTATCTTTTAACCCCCTTACATGTACATTTATTAATATTGATAGACCGAACCAAAGAAGAATAAATTATCGCTACAATTGGAGCTTACGAATCAACAAAAATAATGATTAACACCGGGGCCAGTAAAGTACCCAATGCTCCTCATAACAGAACAACCCCATCGGCGCAAGCTCAGGCACAAGCTCATTTACAACACTCGAAGTTGACGGCACAACAGCAGCAGCTATTAAGACAACGACAACAACAGCAGCTATTACAGCAACAGCAGCAACAACAGCTCGCCCAGCAACGTCTGCCAAGACCTAATCTTCAGAACTATCACTTTGCAACTACATCGCCAGAAATTTTAAAGAAATATGCGAAGTATCCACCATCGTTGAGTTTCCATATCTATGAGTCCCATTATCGGTTGAGTAATTCACAAGATTCGAATATTATCCCAAAATCGTCACCCATGATTAAAAGTTTCCTACAGCATGTAATGAGAGAAGAAATCCCTTTTGAAATGAGTGAATTGATAAAGGACTTTGCTATTAGGTCGTATGACGGGTGTCTTATATTGCAGGTATACGATCATAGAAATATGATCCCAACAGGAGCTCCAGCTACTTCTAATACAAATTCTTCTGCGCCTACAACTAATAATGATAGAAGCAATGCTGGAGGCCTGGCTAGTACTAATGTAAATACTGTTACGGATACTACAACAGATACTAACGGTTCTGCTTCAAAATCTGCTAGCCCTTCACAATCAAATACCAAAAGTGACAGTAATAGTAACACTACCGGATCATCAGCAGCAACAGCAACTAGTGAATCAGCAAAAGTTATATCTAAACCAAAGGCTTACAGAACCTTATTAAGGCCAACACAATTGTCATTATATTACGATTTGCTCTATCACACAGATTCGGCATTAACGAAGTTTACTGACCCTTTGTCACTTCAAATGGAATCAGAAATATTGACTTTGGCTAATCGAAAATTAGATTTATCTGTGCCTCTAAACCCATATTTATGTGATGATTATTTGAAACCTGAAATAGAGCTGCCACGTAAAGAATGGGATGAAAAGAATCAAGATTGGAAATTGATACACCTGCACCGTCAAGAAGTCGAAAATCCACCACGTAAATTACATCAAGATGAATTGATTATGCATAAATCCTCTGACTATGAGGAAATTATGTTCTTGTTATCTAATAAATACAAAAGGTCTGATGATACTCTGGATAAGAAATTGGTTGTGGTAGGCTCTTCATCATTAGTATCAACAGGAACAACTAACTCCAGCAAGAATGGGAAGGAGGGTAGTGCTGATCCTGAAGACAAAAGTAAGAATACTGAAGCTAAAAATGGAAGTTCTACTGTTGTTAATTCTAACACTACTTCGAATTCCACGACTGGTCAATTTATGAGGCTTAGATATATTGAAGAGATTAGAAAACGTAGAGAAGCGCAAAAGGCTCAACAAGAGGCTGTTGCCGCTCAGGCGACCAGCAATGGGGCCAACTTATTAGCACAGTCTAATAATGCAGCTGCAATTAATGCCAGTAAAGATACTGTGCCTGACAATAAAGGATCATTTGCTCCACAAGATAGTAATATAGTACGTCCTGGCTCTCAGCCTCAAGCAGCTCCTGCCAATCTGCAACTTCTGAGACAGCAACAAATGATGGCAGAAAAGGCACAAGCTTTGAGGGCAAGACAATTCCAAGCGCAACAACAGAGACAACAACAAGCAAGGCAACAGCTTCAACAACAGCAACAACAGCAACAACAGCAAAATATTAAGAGACAAAAAATGGATAATATTCCACAGCAACCATTACAGGCCCCACAATCGCAGCAGCAGCAACCACAACAGCCATATAATTCGATTTCTTCTACTCCTCAGATGGGGATGTCTCAACCAGCATCTAGTATGGGAACGCCAGTGATGAATGGAACCATGCTGACACCACAGCAACGTTTCCAACAAGCACAACAACAGGCGTTATCACAACAACCATCCCAATCGGCACCGTCTCAACCACAATCTCAAGGGCAAATTCATGCGCAGTCTCCTGTTCAAACACCAGTCACGGCACAGAATCAACCAAGTCAAACTCAAATTCAACAACAACAGATATTCCAAAATACATTAACCCCACAGGAACAACAAACTTTCAGACAATTACAGTCAAGGATGAATGCATTTGCTATGATGGGCAATTCAGGAATTGCGCCAAATAGAGCACAATTGACACAACAGCAACAGCAACAAGCCATTCAACAAGCAAAATTAATTCAGCAACAGTTATTGCAAAAATTTCCCGTTTATTTTCAGAGGTTGCGTCAATTTCAGCTACTTCAACAGCAAAGAAGACAACAGCAACAACAACAGCAGCAACAACAATCAGCAAGCCAATCACCACAGCCAATGGGTAATATCCCATCTTCGATTCCTCAAAATTCACAATTCAATCAACATCAAAATGTAGGTGGTAAAACAATCCCCGGAGGAATGAGTCCTCAGCAGCAACAGATGATCAATCAGCAAATGTTGCAACAAATGGCTAATAATATGAACCAGCAGGACAAAAAAAAAATGTATAAAAAGAAGTGAGTAATTTTTAAACTCACATATATAGTATATAATTAATATATTATTTATATTGCAACAATATAAAACTATTTAATTTCGAACACATATTATATATTAACTAAAACATACCCCTATATATAAATACCATAAACACCTAAAATAATTCGTTCAAACAAAACGTAAAAAAACCTATAAAAAATACCTACATAATACCCAGAGAATCTAACACTAGTGAAGAGAAAAATAAAAAAAGAGAATTAATGAATTATTCAATTGAAATCGAATATCTAACCAATACTCATTCTTGATTATCAATAGTGCTTCCATAAATTCCAAGAGCTGTTATGGTTGCCAAGGCATAGAATACACCCTTAGCAACCTCTTTAGCAATTGTTTTGAATGTAAAATTATCCTTTGCTGGAGACGGCTTAATTTTCTTTGACTCATGTTCTTCATTTGATGATTGAATATCACCCTGGTATTCATCAAATGACCTCTTCTTTTTGTTTTCATTATACGGCTCCAAGTGCGACGTATTCAATAAATCTTCCGTACGATCCAATACCGGGACAATAGCAAGTGGAAGGCCACAAGTAATAGAACCTTGGGAGTTGGAGCCGGAAGTAATAGAACAAGAGATGTTTCTACAACTCCAGTCATTTGCTTCTTCTAAGTCTATGTTTCCGATGAAACCGCTTGTATCAAGTTCAGGATCTGATTCATTAGATTCTGATATAGATGAGCTGGAATCGGAACTCGAACTAGAACTAGAGCTAGAGTTAGAACTTGAATTAGAATCGGAATTAGAAAACTCAGATGAGAAATCAGATTCTGAATCTAAATCGGACTCTGAAATTATTTCTGATGTAAAATGGCCAAAAGAACAACTTTCAACGTCATCCAGATCCTCGCTTTTTGCAACCCGCGATTCATGCGTACTGGAAATTTCCAAATCCAGTTCATGATCATTAAGATTCGAATTACCGTCAGTTCCTTTAACATCGAGCGATGAAGTTTCCACGTCCATGACAAACTCACCTTGCTTGTCTGTATCTTGATGAGAGTTATCCAGTTGAACTTCCGTCTCAACCACCTTGTACTCAAATTCTTCCTCATTACCTTCCGTACAACTCCTTTCGGCGCAGGAACATTCTTTTGGATGCTTTTTATCAACCTCTAAGCAATCATCAAAGTAATACGCATCCGTGTCATAAGTCTCGTTAGCATTCGTTTCAAGCGGCTCGTCTTTCGATAAGGGTCTTGAATCCTTATCATCTTTGACAACACTAAATTTAAGCTGGTTATCTCCAGAATATTCAAAAGAAAGTCTCAAACCAATTGGAGGGTTAGAGAACTCTTCTAATGGAATATCTCTGTCGCTTGGATATTTCTTAACAATTTTTGCAATACAAGTTGAAGGCTTCGAAACAATAAACCCAATCGTATCACTCAACCCTAACAGATGCCATGTATTTGCTACAATAAACTTGTCATTGATTGTAGTCCCAAACGTCGACCCACAGTCCTTAATAAATAATATTCCATCTCTATATTGCAAACACGCATGTTCTTTCGAAAGATGTGAATTCTCGAAGTTCAAATTATTTTTGCCAATAATCCTACGGCTATCTCTTTGAGATCCTCTCCTGACATATATGAGCTTTTCATCATTATAATCAATTAATCTTTCATCTAAAAATGGTTCGTCTTTCTTAAATTTGTTTTTTGGTGAAGCCACCACTTCGGTATTACAAGTAATCATCTTATCGTGATATGCCTACAACGTCTAATAGTTGCAAACAATTTAAACTAATTTAAATAATTTTAAAACGTATACCAACTGTAACACAACTGTTATGTTAATTCTAGAATAATCCTGTTATAATAGAATGATATAATTAATAATAAGGAGTAATAAACCAGAGGCAAATTTGAAACTGTGGAGGATCAGTTTCTTATCAGTACAAGCTGCGTGCAAAACTACAAAAACTGATTAGGAGCTTTTCTTACAGTATTTGTTATTCATTAGTCGTTATTGGGGTCAATATATAGATATATATAATAAATATGTAACATGCATAGCTGGAGACATAATACACGAGTTTATCCAACATGAAAACGAAAACGAATTCAGAATATTGGATGATTTATCGTAATATGTATCCCAAGTCCCTGTCAAGCACTATTCTTCATAGAGTTTACTGAATTCAGTCCCACCTTCTTCCGACGGAGGAACTTGTAACCAGTTTAAATTGTCGTACTTGGCAGTTCCTTCGATTACGTGAAATGTGTATGCATATCTTGATTTAGTCGACATATTTTTCTCTGATTTGTGTAAAACAGAGTTGTGGATAAGTACCAACGACCCAGCAGGGCATTCTACTAGCTTGTAGTCGTCTGGAGAGTCTTCTGGGTATTGTTTTGATGTATCGTAATCAACAGGAATGAAGTTGCATCCGTTTTTGCCTCCGTTGATTTTGGCAAACCGTTTGGTAATAGGAAATCTCTTATGGGACCCTGGGTTGTATGCTAAGCACCCGTTTTTTTCGGTGCACTCTTCCAAAGCAAACCAAAATCCTACTGCCGATTGGGGTTCCGTGTATAAGAATGTTCCGTCAGTATGGGAAGGCACCGAGTTCTCCCTAGCATCATTACCACCTATTTGGGGTTGTTTGAAAATGCACATACTTTGCAATACTCTCGGATCCGAGTATTCCAACGACCTTGCAACAGCTTTCACCTTATTATCGAATGTGATTTTATGAAAAACTTCATCTTTCATATGCAATCCATGCCCAACTTTATTAATGGCCTTATCTTTAGGGAACCGCAATTCACCGGTGTCCTTATCAAATGCATCCACGTCAAAAAAAAACGAAATATTATTCGATGAATCAAAAAAGTATTGATCTCCAATGTGATCGTTATCACTGGTCTTGAATTGTGTCTTTGGGTGGTCTTTCAAATTAAAGTCATTCAAAAGGGTGTGCGATCTATCAACCAATTGTTGCACTTGTTCAGTCGTTAAAAAGTTGGGAATGCATAAGACACCCTCTCTATGAAAGGTTTCTAATTGCTCTTGTGTTAGTTCTTCGTTTACCATAATATTAAATGCTTATGCCTAATAAATTAGCAATATATTTACTAATTAATATTGTATGATCTTTTTTACTTATGTCCGTTCGCGGTAATCATTACTATTTTGATGGAAGCTATAAATGGATTTTTAATCAATATTGGGTAGCCAATACCTTTTCTTGTTTGCAAATCTATGTTATTAGTTTTAGAAAACTTCACAGTTGTATTGAAACTATTCATTTTGGTTGAAAATATATTCAGTGTAGTTAAAAAAATATGCTAATAAAAGAGATGGACATGTATGCGCATACTCATTAATGGTTACATTCCTACAGAGTTAATCCAGGTAAAGTATCCACAGATGCGAGGTTCAAAGTAATATTGTCATACTTGTATAGAGATGGTCCAGATTAAACTCTATTCATTGCTTCATATTTCAGGGAGAAGAAACATTATGAGTATTGGCTGAGTCGCAATACCCGAAGTAGTAAAATGTAGCACCCGGTATAAAAGGGTTGAACAAAGTACGAAAATGGGAACCAACTAAGTGCATAATGGATGCAAATAGACGTGAGCACTGCTAAGGTAGCACCAAAGCTATTTGTGGGAATGTGCCATACAATATCATAGCATATGCGCTAACAAGGGAAATAAACTAGACTTCAGAGACCCATGGATTACTTGGCCTTACACTATGTATTAATCTAATTGGACTATCATCGAAACTTTTATGCACTAATAAGGGATTTTGTTGAGTTAAATTATCCTGCGACTGAATTGACGGAGGAATAGCTTCCAGATGAAAGATTATTTAAAGACGGTTGGTGGGCTGGAATTGCAACGGAGTTTGATTTATCATAAGCTAAAAACCAATTAAGAATTATGTCCACTGAAAAGATTTCGTTTTTGCTCAATTGGCAACCAACTCCATACCACATACCAATTTACCTAGCCCAAACAAAGGGATACTTTAAAGAGGAGGGAGTTGACATCTCAATTTTGGAACCATCAAATCCATCTGATGTTACCGAATTAATCGGTTCAGGAAAGATTGACATGGGTTTAAAGGCCATGGTTCACACCCTTGCTGCTAAGGCTAGAGGTTTCCCAGTTACTTCTGTTGGTTCCTTATTAGACGAGCCATTTACTGGTGTCTTGTATCTTGAAGGGTCTGGTATCACACCTGATTTTACATCCTTAAAAGGTAAGAAAATCGGTTATGTTGGTGAATTTGGCAAAATTCAAATTGATGAATTGACCAAACATTATGGCATGACTCCAGACGATTACACCGCCGTGAGATGTGGTATGAATGTTGCTAAATATATCATCGAAGGTAAAATTGATGCTGGTATTGGTATCGAATGTATCCAGCAAGTCGAATTAGAGGATTATTTGAAAAAACAGGGAAGACCAATAAGCGATGCTAAAATGTTAAGAATCGACAAATTGGCTGAATTAGGCTGTTGTTGTTTCTGTACAATCTTATATATCTGTAATGATGAATTTTTAAAGGCTAATCCTGAGAAGGTTAAAAAATTCTTGAAGGCCACCAAAAAGGCAACTGATTACATGCTTGCCAATCCAAAACAGGCCTGGGAAGAATACTCCGACTTCAAGCCTCAAATGACTTCTGAATTGAATTCGAAAATGTTTGAAAGATGCTTTGCTTATTTCTCGGACTCTTTATACAATGTTCATCGTGACTGGAAGAAGGTTACAGCTTATGGTAAAAGGTTAGAAATATTACCTCCAGATTATGAGTCAAATTATTCCAATGAATACTTATCATGGCCTGAACCTAAAGAAGTTGAAGACCCAATTAGGGCCCAAAATTTGATGCTCGAACACCAAGAAGAGTGCAAGGCCTGTGGTGGATACCGTAGATTAGCTGTTAACTAAATTTAGCAACTTTATGTTTAGGATTTATATTATCTCCATATATTTGACAATTGTATATGATATTCTGAACTATTTACAGGCATGTAGAATTCGTTGTCTATTTATAAAGGAAGCTTAACCATGACTCCTTTCTGGCTTCTCTTTCAGATTCAGGAACGAAGGCATCAATATGGGTTCTGATTTTTTCCGCTCCTTCCTTAGCTTCCACTTCTCTTCCAATAACGTCAACAAAATTACCTTCCGAATCCATTAAATAAAAGAAAATAGAATGGTCAACTAAATAGTCCTGTCCGGGCTTAACATCAGGAGGAGTTGAAAAGTAAACTCTGTATTGCTTACAAGCCCTCTTGACATTTTCGTATGGACCTGTCAAACCGATAATTGAAGGATGGAAATCACTCAAGTAATCCTTAATGATTTCTGGCGAATCTCTGGCAGGGTCACATGTAATGAAAATAGGTTGTAATTCGATATTATCTTTCTCTTTCAATTCATCTAACATAAGTCCCAACTTATCCAATTCATCAGGGCAAACATCTGGACAATGGGTGAACCCGAAGTAAATAATGGAGAACTTCTTTTGATCGTTCTTCAAGTTCTCGTGGGTGAATTTGTTTCCATCAGTATCAACCAAATTAAAACTACCCCCAATTAAAGGCTTACCATATACCCTTTTGGCTTCTGTTTCCTTTTGAATTCTCAATCTCTCTTTTTCTGTACTGAACCAATAAGTAACACCTCCCCCAAGCGCCAATAATAAAACAACAGCTTTCCAAGCTGCAAATTCCACACTATTTCCAGCAGCAAATTTTTTTTCAGATTCTTGTGTTCCACCAATAGCAACTCTACTCAAAGGTCTCTTTTTGGTTGCTGCATCTTTCTGAATTTCAGAAGCGTCAGGTTTCTTTTCATTTAATCTGTAAGCGGAGTTACTCAACAAGCGTTTGGAATAATGCAAACTACTTGTTCTCAAGTTATAAACAGTCGATATACGGGGTCTAAAAAGTATTCTAGATAACATTATTCTTGTCGTTTAATCGTTCTAAGTAGGTATTACAAAGAGTAGAATTCGTTAAATCATCCGATCGTTGGCATAAGAGTTTTATATACACAACTTTAATGAGACGGGTTGAAAAATTTAGTGATACACTGGGATTAGAATAGACAGTTTTCAGCTGAAATATATCGATATGACGGTTTCAGACTTATTAAAATGGGCTCAGGAAAAGGGGACATTCATTTCTTCGGCTGTTGAATTTAAAGAATTATCTCAAGGGAATATTGGTGCTATATATACGGGTGAATCGAGTGATGAAACTAAATCATCGGATAAATTTGACCTTCAACTTCCAATAGATCTTGCAATAACTTTGAATAAGGCAATTGAATCATTTAACGATACTGGCCATGGTGATTTCCGTGATATTAGTAAAAAGACTACTAATATTAACTCGTTGTTAAAGTTGTATTTAGCTCGTGAGAGGACATCCTCAAAATTGAATTCATCATACTTTAAGCCTTATTTGTCATTATTACCTAAATTAAGTGACATCAACTCGCCATATTGCTGGACTTCTCAAGAGAAAGCACTCATTAAAGGAACCAATTTGGGTAACTCTTTGAGGGACAATGTTACACAGTTGGTGGAAGAATGGTGGCAAGTGATAAATCTTTTGCCGCAAGATTTGCCAAAGCCAGAAGAGCATTTCATTAATATGAAATTCTACTATGAGTATAAATTCTACACAGACGATGATATGTATAACTATTTTATTGTTGATGAAGCAAAGAATATAGACAATTGGACTAGCTTTCCTTGCTATTTATGGGCATCCCTCATTTTGAAATCGAGATCATTTCCTTCCCATTTACTTAAGGATCATATAAAGGATTCTGATATCAAAGAAGATGAAGCGATGTTACTTCCAATAATAGACCTTTTGAATCACAATATGAGTGCTAAGGTAGATTGGTCTGTTACTTCTTCGAATTCATGTACATATTTCAACTTCAAATCGAATTCAGCTGTACCAGGCGAACAGTTATACAATAATTATGGTATGAAGGGAAACGAAGAGTTGTTGTTAGCTTATGGATTCTGTATCGAAGATAATTCTGCTGATTCTGCGGCATTGAAGATTAAAGTGCCTTTAGAAATGTTACCAGAATTGGAATCGCAGGGGATCAAATTGCCTACAGTAAATGATTATACAACTTCTGTCATCAGAAATACAACAGAAACAAAATCAGATGCCAGCATAGATTATAGTCAGTATGAGAATGGGCTCCTCTTCTTCATAACTAAGGACCACTTACCGGAAAATTTGGTAAAGTTATTTCAATTTTTAGTCAAGAATAAATGGGAAAATAAATTGACTTTAAGAACCCAGTTGGCCGGTTTAAATCAATTACGTCAAGCAATTGAAACCAAAAATGACATTCTCAAGACTCTTTCTATTCCAGATGACGATAATACTAATTTGAATAATATTAGAATCTATATATTATCACAAAAGAAGATCTTTGCTGCTACAATCAAGAAAATCAAGCATTTAGAGAAAGATTTGTTAGCTGAGTTTAAATCACATTTAATTACATTGAAGAATGTTTATAAGAAGGATCTAAAATTCCAACAGTCCTTATTGATCAGTTTAGGTATTTCATCGTATGATTCAATAATCGAATCTCAATTCCAAGACCAATGTTGGTTGTTATATTTAATGCGTTGTTACAATAAAAATGAGTATATCAAGACTGATAAAGACGAAGAAGAAAATTATTTACCTGAGTGGATAAAAAGTCTGTTTATTAAGCTTGCAACAGAAACAGAAGTAACTGCTGCAGAGATTGTAAATTACAAAGAAATATATCAAAGTTTGATACCTAGACTTTCGGAAATCGTTCCAGAAATATATGGAAGAGGTAAATGGGGAGTCGATGAGATGATCATCAGTGCCAAATTGTTAGATCTCATTGGTTTCGTAAGAGGTAAGGAGCAAGAGTGTATTTTGGTTGAACCATTCGATCAGTAGCCACATTGCACCATAGATCTCACGCGAGCCGTAACACATGCGGCACGAATTGATATCCGATTCCGATAAGAATCTACTTAGTTATAGGTTGTATATCAATATTAATAGTTCTATTCACAAACACTAGCTATATAATGTATAAAGAACTCGCAAGTAACCTACGGTTCTAATGATTTTACATCTAATCTTCCTTGATACCACCAGCACCACTGATTTCAGCGGTTTCGATAGAGTGCTTGTCGGTCTTAACGTCTTGTTGAGCACCGGACAAAGCTTGTAAGAAACCTGGCGCAGCCTTGAAAGGTCTCTTCAAGTCACCGCTGGCTGGGGTACCGAAAAGGTGGATCTTCACAATGTTAGCTTCTAAAGCTGACTTGACAGAAGAGATGGATTGCATGACTAATGGGTTGGTGTATTTCATGTAAATGTGCATGAAACCCATCATGGCCAAAGAAGTAAAAACAGATCTGATTTGAGTGTTAACTTGTTTCAAATCGTATTCTCTAACGGTAGTAACAACAGCCTTTGGTTCAGTTTCACCGGCCATAGTATTAGCTGGTTCAACATATTTCAAAGTAGTCAAATCATTCTTAGCAGTGATTTTAGCTCTGGTAATAGCGTAAACAGCTAAAGCAATAGCTTGACAAGATAAGTAGGCGGCTCTAACGTAGAAGAGAATATCTGGATCTTCTAAGTCTAAACGACGAGAAACTTGCATCATGACAAGCATGACCACTAAGTTGGTGATGGCAGGATTCATTTTCTATTTCTAATTGATTTATCCACTAAACAACCTTGATTGTACCTAAGAATGAAAATTGTCTTGAAATTTTACTAAACGACACGAGTTAAATTTTCGTTGAGAGTGTTTTGCCTTTATCAACAAAATTAATTACCCGCACAAAAGAATCTACTAGAATTTTGCAGCTAAATGTATGGTATTTACGGTATTATATGACTATTTACGTAGAATATTGCTAGATAAGAGTATCCTCGTCGTCGAAAGAAACATCACCAAACTCCCAACAACCCAAATGGGCAGATTTTGCTTTTTGTTGCGCCTTTTGCATAGAATCATAGTATTCCTTGAGATTAGGCGAGACACCTTTGGAATCAACGACAGCCCAACCTTCCGAGACTAATTGCTTGTTAATGGTGTAAGTAGGATCCTTCAAAGATTCTTCCGAGTCGTATAAGACTACTGAGTAGTCAACATTTGGGATAGATGAAGGCAATGCACTGATGACTAACTTTTTGTCAAAGGTGAGATCTTCCAAGGCATACAACGCATCGGTCAAGTAGTCGGTTGGCTTGGTAGGAGGCAATCTCAAGTTTTGTAAAACACAGGTGTGGGCGAACTTTGGAAGTTGGGTGAGTGAGAATTTGGCTGGTAATACACGCAAGGAACTGAGAGGAACCTTGTCGACGTTACCGAAGTCTAAATGCTTCACTTCGTAGTTTCTGGTGGTCTTGTCATAGTTCAAGACTTTACCACGATAATATTTGCCATTCTCGGAGAATTTAGCAGAAACGAATTCACCTTTCTTTGGAGGCTTACTCAAATTATGGGGTAAATCGATGGAGGTGTTACTTGCACTAGGAGTTTGATTATGGAAGTCGGCAAACTGCTTTTTGAAGGAGGCAAATGTACTAGACGTACTTTGGTCTAATACATGGTACGAAATAGTACCAGTTGAATCGATATCAGTTACTTCGATATCGAAGAATTTTGGTTTTGCTGAATCAAGTTTGAGTTCATTCAATTTAGCGTTTTGTAAGTCTAACTCTTCTTGAACCTTAGACGCGTCATAATTGGCCCAGAGTCCCTTCTTTGATGATTTAGCGGATTCTTCGGCATTAATAAGTTCGTTAGCAAATGGGTTGGAATTAACAGCTAAGTCATGGACCGAAACCAAACCCTGATCTAATAATGAAACTTGAACTGGTTGCAAGCTACTAGAGTTTACATACAAGTTACCAATAAAGCCACCAATTTTATCCATGTCATAAACATCAAATTCGATACTTCTTTGCAAGAATTTTTTATTCATATATTTTAAACCTTCATCACCTAAGGCTTCGCTTTTATTGTTGGATAATCCACCTAAAATTAAAGTCAATTTCAAACCTTCTTTTGGGTTGTATAGCTTAACTCTGTTTACAGAAGGAATAAATTCGACGTAATAGCCATTAGCAATTCTACCCTTTTGTTTAAACCCATTGAAAAATGTTTTGGCTTTAGTGTAGTTTTCAGAAGCATCGACAATTCTGGTACCTACTGTTAAAACTTTATTTATATCACCATTGAAAAAGACACCTTTCTTTGCAAGTTTCTTTTGTTCTTCTTCTAATTCCACTAATTTATCCCAATTCAATGATCTTTCGTGTGCTGTGGCCTTATTGTGCTTGATTACTGTACCCATACCATTACTGACAATTATTTCGGATAAATCATTCGTTCCATTGATTTTAAAACTAACAAGAAATCTAGCATCGAACCCTAGTTCCTTATTAGCTTCTTTGTATCCGTCAATGTAAACAGTACCAGTTTTACCAATAACGTGTTGTCTTACAAATTCACGGGCAGTGTTGACTAATGCTAATTGTTGTTGGTGGTTGGTAGTGATAGTAGAATCAGAAGGTTTAGGACCTCTAATAGAGGCTAATTGAACAGTTAACTCTTCTTCAGATGAAGGTAAACGGACAACTAATGTATCAGCACCTATAACTTTAGCAATTGAAGCATTGGTAATGGTTGATCCCGGTTTTAAGCCTTTACTTGATTGAGCAACTGGTGCAGAGCTATGGGTAGCTTTTGGATTCGAGTACAAACCTTTAGCTAATGCTTTAGCTGTTTGTTCAGCTTTTCTCAATTCTCCCATTGTAGAAGATCCAACCAAAGATGACTGCCAATCAACAACTTCACCAAACCCATTTTCTAATAACTTAGCATGGATATTATTTCCCGACGGATGATGGATAATAGCAATTGGCACACCTGCTTGACTTTCACCTATAACACTAACCTTGATAGCAGCCTTGGTGGTCAAAAGCTTTTCTTCGACAAATGCTTTGGCTTCCTGGGCAACCTTAGTAACCGATGTAGATTCGGTGGCATCATCAGTTCTGGGACATTTAATACCTGCTAATAATAAGGGGGTCGTGATATGCTGGTTCTTATTAACAATAATACGGCCCATAACCCTATCACCACTTATAACTTTTTCGACAATTGTAGTGATTGGAGCTTTTTGCGACTTACCAATAATGCCTTCGTTCAATTCAATAGTCTCAATCTTGTCCTCCAGAGAAGATTCAGTACTCCATAAGCCAGCCTGGTTTTGTTTAGCTTTACTTTCCAAGTTACGGAGATCGTCAATGTATTCGGATTCGTCTTGGATATTGTCTTTCAACTTAACGAAACCCTTTTCAAGTAAATGCTCGATCAAGGACTTGAAAATTGGTGCCTGGATGTCTCCAAACTCCTTTCCAACATTAGGGGTTTTAAATAACACTTTGAACTTGATTTCCTTACCAATCAATAATTGTCTTAAGTATTCCTTCGATTGGTAACTGTCACCCGACTTCACATACGAAAGTGTTAACATTCTCTCTGGAACTGGGAATTGTGAGGTTTTGGAAGGAACCAAAATCACAGTGTCCCCACTTAAGACATTCTTTACTTTAGCAACAAACACTTGAGTCATATTCGTCTTCTCTATTGATATATCTTTCTGTTTACTGCGTTGAAAAGAAAAAGAGTTGATCTGAATCAATCAAAAATCGAATCGGTGCGTTGTTCAAAACGCTCGGACGATAACCGCATACGATGTCAAAATGATTATCATTAATATATGAATAAAAGCATTAACTTAAATACATATACATTACATATTTAGTGAATAATACTCCTAAAAGAATGCCACCTCGTTCAACAGCTCAGAAGAGATTATTGAAAGAATATCAACAACTCGCAAGGGATCCACCCCCAGGAATAGTTGCAGGTCCAATTTCAGAAGATGATTTGTTTAAATGGGAATGCTTATTAGCAGGTCCACCAGATACCCCATATGAGAACGGAGTGTTCCCAGCTAGTTTGACTTTTCCAAAAGATTACCCATTGAGCCCACCGACTTTGACGTTTGACCCACCATTATTGCACCCAAATATCTACGCGGATGGTACGGTTTGTATATCTATATTGCATGCTCCAGGAGAAGATCCAAACCAATACGAAAGGCCAGAAGAAAGATGGTCTCCGGTGCAAAGTATAGAGAAAATATTGTTGAGTGTGATGTCGATGCTCGCGGAGCCAAACCCAGAGAGTGGTGCTAACATTGATGCATGCAAGCTATGGAGGGACAATAGGGTCGAATACGATAGGCAGATCAGAGAACATGTAAGAAAGACTTTGGGATTGTGAAGTCTGTAAATTGTATATTGTATGCTTCAGAAGCTGTTTGGAGAGTTAACTTTGGGGATTTGAAATCGCCAAATCGTTCCCATGAATTGGTATGTCATGGAAATGTTTTTGATGTGTTTAGTATGTTAGATATCCGACGGATATAAATAGACAATGTATAATGATATTAAGTTAAAATCCGCTTTCGTGTGTATAAACAGTGTAATATGAAAAATGAGCATGAGTAAAGTAATAGCAAATAAGATACCATTGCACATAATGTCCAAACCCATTGAAGTTGAAGTGTGTATTATTGGTGGAGGAGTGTCTGGTCTTAAGGCAGCTCATACTCTACTCAATTACTCTGAATCGAAATATTCCTCTAAAGATTTGATTTTGCTCGAAGCTCAAGATAGGCTTGGAGGTAGAATATTTACCGATCGGACGTCGTCAAAATTGGGATTATCTTACGACTTAGGAGCATCATGGTTTCATGATTCCTTAAACAACGTTGTGTTGGAAGAATCAATTAATGATGGTAGTTTCAATGTTATGGAGGACGGCTACTATGACGATAAGGATATGAAAGTCTTCGCATCTGATAAAGACGGACCACTAGATGTCAACGATATGAGACTCCATAGAGTAGCCGAGGATTTGGAAAAGTTTATCGAGTTATACTATTTCGATGATTTGGACAAAAAAGACATGCCGTTATACAAAATAGTTGGGATGTTTATGGAAAAGCATTCTTCAAGATTGACTACGGAGCAAAAGAAATATTGCAACACCATGTTGAGATATCTCGAATTATGGTATGGTATTACGTGGGACAAAATCAGTGCCAAGTATTCAATTATGGACCACCAAGGCAGAAACCTATTCAATAAGAAGGGTTACGATTTCGTGATTAACAAATTGTCTCGGGATATCCCAGAGGATCGAATTCTCCTTGCCCACCCTGTCACTAGTATTATTCGTAATAATAAGAACGGTGACAAAAAGGTAGCAGTAGAATCGGCCAACGGGCCCACGGTTTATTGTAATTATCTCATAGTTACAGTCCCTCAGAGCATATTGTCATTGAGCCCGCTGCATATCCATGGGATAACCTGGACGCCACCTCTTCCATCTAACATCACCAATGCATTAGAAAGTATTCACTTCGGTGCATTGGGAAAAGTCATTTTCGAATTTGACTCTTGCTGGTGGGATATCAATGAAGACAGGTTTGAAATACTTGCTGATTCCACCGATGATAGTCTGCTCTCCGAGTCTTTAAAACTGCCTCCCAAAAGCTTTTCATTCCCTGTATTTGCAGTCAACTATGCTGCCGTACATAAGAACTCAACCAAGGGTGCTAGTCTTTGTATTCTCACGCAATCTCCACTAACTGACTACTTGGAGTCGCACCCAGATCAAGCATGGTCCTATTTCAAACCCATGTTGGCCAAGCTAAAATTCAGCGATCATGAAGTATCAGATCCAATCAACACTATCACTTCTAACTGGACCAATAATCCATATGTAAGAGGCTCCTACAGTGCTGTTGAATCGGGAGATGATCCATTAGATATTATCACCCAATTATCTGGTGAGCACGACTGTGGATTGACAGACAAAAATATCCGTTTTGCAGGTGAACATACTATTCTGGATGGATCGGGGTGTGTACACGGAGCTTATATGAGTGGTCAAAGAGAAGCTATATGGATCCTTAAGGATTCTGGTGCTATCAGTACTGCTGAATAGTAGTATCGAAGGTTGCAGAATGAATGTATATGCAGTACTGTCTGTCAATTTTCGTCGGGTCTCAAGCCTATGAAATATAAATTTTTTTTAACCTAATCGCCATCACTTGCAGTGTTGTAGGTCCTTTTATATATAATATAGCAGATATGAGTACATTTAAAGCCGAAAACGCTGAAAACTTGGAAGATATTGAAAAGCAATTTGCTGTGAAAGCAGTTATGCAAGCTGAAACATACTGGAGTTTATTAGAAAAGATTCCAGGATCCAAATTGAAGTTAACAAAGTACGATGACCGTATCTACGATCAATTATTAGAAGACTTCCCTGAATTTGAAGATCCAAATGCCGCTGCGGTTATCGAAGAAGCTTCCATGAAGAGTCCAAGTGGTAAAGCCAAATGGAGAACATTTTGTGACAAATTTAAGGACATCGAAGACTACAACTTTGGTACTCTTTTAAGATCCAAGGCTACAGATGAATACTCACAAGAGGGTACTATATTTGCCGTCAGAATCCAATTCTATGCTATAGAGATTGCCAGAAATAGAGCTGGCTTAAATGACTGGATTGCTAGCAAATAACCTTGTATACAACCTTTCCTTTTTTATGATCACTTACTATAATACATTTCTGTCGAACTTGGATAATCATTATCCTACTTATTGTATAATACCTACTGTAGGCCCCATCTTTAAGTGTTAGAAATCATGTCATGTAGTGATGTCGTATGTCGTGTGATAGAATGTCGCGTTATATGGATTGGTGCTATTAGTTTCGACATATACAACATGATTTGATAATATATCTAGTATTTACCGTGTTTATCTAAGAAAAAATCAGTTTAACTAGAGTTTATATCTAGTTAATTCGATGGATAATAACTGTACACCTCAACATATCTTTTTACATTTGATTGGGTTAGAGCAGTAATGAACAATCCTAAGATGCAACCGAATAATACCAATAGCAATTCCAATAATGTAAATATAAACAACGGAAACCTGAAGTTGCCGCAATGGCAGCAGCAGCAACAGCAACCATTGGCTAATTATACGTTACCTGGAGTTATCAATTACTTGACGTCGGAATTTACAGATCTAGAGAGATTCAAGATCATGACAAATTTAGAGAAATCAGAAATGAAATATAAAATTGTACAATTGCAAGGGGAGCTTAATTCATTGAGATATATCAATGAAAAGCAAAAGTCCCGTATAGATGTGTTAGCAAAAGAAAATCAAAAATTGGAAGATCGATTGAAATCTAAGGGGACCGATAGTCAGTCGGATAGTGAGACCAAGAGTGAGGGTACAGTTGAAGGCAATATTGAAATACCCGAAATAGATTTACTAGAGATCAAGAAATCGAGAGCTCAATTGACAAAATCCATGAGACAAGTATTGCATTTGCTAAAGACACCTCATGCGAACAGCATGAATGCTTTGAACCTCAATGATCCGGCAGATGAATTGAATGAGTATGACGATTTAATAAAGAATGACAAATCGGATCCATTCTTTTTTTCTGAAAAAGACAATTCTCAGAATTCAGAGTACAGTGGACGTAGCCGCAAGTATAACAAAGACAGCATATTTTCGCAATATTTGAATGACATTCCTTTCAATTCTCAAAACCAAGGATCCACTGAAAAAGTTCAAGATGATCTAAGTCAGAACAACTTAACTGAAATTGGAGACATCAATGCGAAAAGTATTCAATATTTAACCCAGCCTTCAGAAGAAAAGGAAGAGTTTCCATCATCAAATAATAAAACAGAAGAAAGTGATACAGAAACCGTAATCATGGATGAATCTGATGGAGAAAAGTTGGAGTTGACCAAAACCAAATCGAATCTCGCCAAGAGACTTGACCATAATTCAAGTGCAGCTAGTCTCTCTTCCGTCAAATCAAATTCATCTTCCGAATCAAACAAGATTACTGAAGATATGTATTCCGTAAAGCCAAACGCCTTAATTACAACTAATGATCCAAATTATAAAAATTGTCGAGTATTTACTGGTTGCTTGAATAACACGATAGTGTATTTGAACTACGACCACAAATCGGACGAAAGCTTAGTTTTACTAAATGTGTGGTCGACTTCATTAAATAAATTGGTTGTTTCAAAAGAATTCACGGATACAATTGTTGAAAAACCTTCAAATGTTATTGATATATTCTGTGTTTCACACGATGAAGTCAACCTGACGATGTACTTATTGGCTGTTTATAAATCGGGAACTGTTGACCGTATCAAGCTTAATGAAAATTCCCAAATTTCAAAGCATTGTATTCTTAACCTTCCTACCACAACATTGAACTCGTCTAAGTTGATTGAATTCAGCCATAAGTCTAGTCCTGAATCTAGAAATTTTGGTCTTGTTGTAACTGGTTTACAAAAACCTGCCTCGACTCCGTTTATCAAAATCTACAATTTGATGGTGGACACTAAGAATGCAATAGTCGACACCGAAATTGGGTCATATGTCAAAAGCTTCTTTAAGCTACAAAATTCGCAAGAATCAGACATGTTTGAGGCTGTTCACTGGTTTAAAAATGACGACACTAAATCTACACCAGATACATCGTCACCAAAGTCTAACAAAGGAAAATCCCACAAAAGAACGGTATCTTGCACAGATGTCTCCCTATCTCCATATGAGATTATCCTTAAATTGGGTTACCAGTTAATCAGATTCAATTTCGTCCTGAAAAAATACTACACTTTGATCGATGATTTGCATGGAGATATTACGAAAGATTTATGTTTCAATGATCATTTAGCCCTATTCGTTGAATTCAAGGAAGACAACTTTAAATTAAAAGTGTACGATTTAGTTAAAGGGACGTCCATAAGTGAAACCGATTCTAATAACTCATTCTCTGAGAATTCTAGTCTTATCCTAGTCAGTGATGAGAAAAAGTATGCTATTGCTAAATTGGACAGATCTCATATTCAATTTTACGACTTGAACTTCTCCTTACTACATCATATCAACATTTCTCCTTTACCCAATACTTTATTATACTCCAACGGTGAAATAATTTTAGCCACGGTCTCCAATAATTCCATAGAGAATTTGGCTATTTACGATCTAAACACGTTTACTGCATAATAGATAGTTTTGTCTATTTATCAAATCAATATATTGAATTCGTTCTCCCTATTGTATTGAATCTGCGGCTCAAGTTT